AGAGCTAACTGGGGAAGGCGCCGGTGATCCCTGCATTCACCTTTGTTGCCCTTCCCTTGCTTCCTTCACCCCTTCACTCCAACACTCATGTCTGCGCTTTTGAGCTCTAGCTGAATTTCATCACATCCTTTTTTTTTCCTTAGAAGTAACATTATGTCTTAGTTCGCTGACCTTACAAGAGCCGTAAGTATACAACAAAGTTCCCTCTAACCAACGCCCATGTTAGCCATCAGGGCAAGGAAACATCCAACACCTTCTTGAAACTTCTGATCATCTCACCACGCAGTCGTACCACCATCAATCTTCATATCATGACCGGTCATAAAACTGCTTGCATCACTCATCAAGAAAACGCCTGCTCCCTCATACTCCGCTGGCCTGCTCAACCTACCCAGCATACTATTCTCCTCCCATGCTTCACGGCTGGCCTCGCCTTTCCTGAGGTTTTCCTCGACCATTGGCGTCAGAATGTGTCCTGGGCTGAGTGTATTCACTCGAATGCCCCCAGCGCCGTCCGGACCCACTCTGCCCCACTCCATGGCCAGATTACGTCCTAGCTGAATCACTGCAGCCTTGGACGAGTTGTAGACGGGTGCAATGAAGTCCCGATTCGCAATTGTACCGCTCATGGATGCGATGAGGCAAATCGAGCCTCGCGTCTTGTACTTGATCATCTGGCGAGCACACGCGCGAGCAGCGATAAAGACGCCCGTGTAGTTGACTTCTAGCATCTTCATGATGTCTTCTTTCTTGAAGTCAAGAGCCGACGTGACTTGCTGTATACCGGCCGCTAGAGGAATACGTCAGCTCTCCAGGTCCCCGTACCACAAGTTCTGCACATACCTGCAATCAGGCCATCCAATCTCTGTCCCTCTGCCGCAATAGCCGCCATGCGAGATTCCACCTCTTCATTCTGAGTTACATCAACTTGGCGGTACTCTAGCTCGCCCTCATACTCCTTCATCCTATCTCTTGCTTCTCCGAATTCTAGGCTCGGTTGAGGTGCACGATCGAAGCAGTATACCCTGCCGCCGGCATTGACGAGACCTTGAGCCATGGAGAGACCGAGTCCACGTCCACCACCTTTACCTCGATCAGCATGTGCCATGTAAATGTGAAAGATACAATCATACCCGTTACGACAAATACTCTGCCTGTCAAGTCAAACAGCCCCAATCGCCGCGTTTCATTGCTTCTGTGAGGTACCAATGGAGCCCGCGCAGTGAAGCCACGACGCCCAACGGGTGCACCAACTGCGGTTGAAAGTCGACACGCCGACCACGGACGCCTCAGGTTCATCCGTAAAGAGGCCATCGTGTACAACGCATCGAACGAAGAATGAGGAGCAGGACGTTTACCGACGCAGTCAGACGACCAATGTAGTCAGACAAATTGTGATTGGTGTAGTAAACGCGTCAGCAACATGCGTTACACAACAGGTACAATTTCGAGGTCATTGCCATGATTCCCTTATAACGCCAGGATGATGCCATTGCAAAACCGCGCGTCGCGTCTTACTTGCCAATTCTAGGAAGATGTTGGTACGGCGAGTTCCTGCTCTCTTATTCGCTCTTGCTGGCATGACTAAGCGAACGCCCTTGTGCAGCCAGCCATCTTGTGGGGAAGTTGCGAAGGGATGTTGTCACTTTCCTTGGGCCACACGGTCAGCTTTGGCACAATAACTCAAAACAGAGTGGAGAAAATGCGTCCGTCTGTTCGTTGATAGATTCATTTGGAAGAATTGCGTAAAAGAATACAAGCACCCATTAAAGAAACTACTTCCATTCCCACCGTTCACCGTCTAACCTCTGCATGCTCCACCTCAGTTCCCCCCTTAGTATCCGCATCCACCTCCCTCAGATCCTCCTCACCCTTGCCCATGTCCGTAATCATCATATCCTGCTTCCTCTTCTCGCTCCTCTTGTACATATACTGCATCACCAGGAACGTGACCCAGCAACCGACGATGAAGCAAATATTCACCGCGTATCCCTTTGTCCACCTGGGCCCCTCGACGATGGGGAACACGGTGATGGGGTAGAAGGAGTAGACGGCCCAACCGGCGGTCAACATGGCGCCCACGGTCACGGCGCGCGCTTCGGCGTCGTCCCGTAGCGCCATGTTGACAAAGGGCATGAGGATTGGGGTGATGGCTGCTGAGACGCCGAGGAGGTAGTAGCATGCGACTGTCATCATTCCTTGGTTAGTAGTCTCTCGAGTGGTCGTAAGGGAAACATGGAAATGTCTTCTTTTGACTTTGAGAAAGAGATGAAACTCACAGTGATAGCCCTTGGGAAGGTTCCAGACCAAGAGCGAGATGTTGGCGATGATGTAGATTGTCTGTACAATGCTGAAGATGGACCATAAGGGATAGACCATGCACAGCGACGTTGCGAGTAGGGCAGCGACGACGGAGACACCTTGTGCGCCCGTGGGAATCTCATTGATCTGCGGGATTGTGTAGGCGCCTGGATGTTTGGCGGCGAGGTCTTTGAGCCAGATGGCCATTTGGCCGTGAGGATAAGAGGAGGATAGGAAGCTTTTTTTTGGGCATCAGCTGACATGAAAGTCTTCCCTTAAGAAGGACAGCCGAAAGAAAGAAAACAAAACTTACAATGTGTAGCACAGAACGCCCATATAGAACTCCCAGCGCTTAAACGTGCGCTTTGCAACCGTCCAGCTGAGTTCTTTGCTCGGTGCGATGCCCGCGGACACCATGCGTGTGCGTGCGAGTTGGTGTTCTTTGGGCGTGAGCCACCATGGTTTCGTGCTGCTTGGGAGACCGGGGAAGATGAAGAAGCCGGCGAGGGCGATTGGCAGACTGATGATACCGTCGATGATGAAGAGCCCTGGTGAGACGGGGAAAGCAAAAGAGTTAGTCCAACATGCAAAAAATCATTCGACGGAATTTGTGAACTTACATCGCCAACCGGCCATGCCTGAGACTCTGTCGATTGGTTAGTATATATAGACCAGCGGAGATTGTGGGGGCCATATACATACCCATTAAGATTCTTATACGCAGCGGCCTGCAAATACCCGCCAAACATGACGGCGATATTATTACTCACAAACCAGACGCCCGTCCTCTTAAACACCTCCTCGGGCCTATACCACGAGCCCAGCACATACGTCGTCCCACTCGCCACGGGCGTCTCCAAAACACCCAGCAAAAACCGGGTGCCGTAGATGTCCCGCTCGTTGCGCATCTGGCTCTGCGTGAAGGTGACAATGGACCAGAGGACCTCCATGGTGGGTAGGTAGTACTTTGCGAGTTTGGGGCGGGAGAGCAGGAGCAGCGAGGGGACTTGGAAGACGAGGTAGCCGACGTTGTAGAAGGTGCTGAAGAGGGAGTATTGATTGCCGTTGAGGTGGAGTTCTTCTTTCATGCCAGAGACGTAGGCGTTGTTGATGTTGGAGGAATCGAGCCATTTGAGGAAGACTGGGTTGGGGTAGGAAAAGGCGTTAGTGGTTGTCTACTCTCTTTCGTGTTTCTTCGCCTTTTTCTTTCTTTCTTTTCTTCGTCTGACGCGTGGATGATATGGGGAAATGTGAAGATGTAAGAACTTACACATGAGCGAACAAAACGTCAAAAGAAACGCATCCATCTTCCGAAGCAATTTTCTCTCCTCGGCAGGATAATGCTTCGGATACCATTCCCAGAGATACAACCACGCCTTCCATGGTGATCGTTTCGGCGCCTCAGCAGGCGCAATCACATTGGTATCGAATTCGCCCGTGGGCGCCACCGCACCACGATCTTCTTCGTCGCGCTGTGTTCTCGCCATATTGCCGTTTTCTTCTTCGTCGTCGTCGTCGTCCTTTTCACTCGGACCCTGTCATGTGACTTGTGTACTCAGGTCAGGTAGGATGGACGGTATGTCAAATAGCCAAGGTAAGTTACAGCTTAACCCAACACCAACAACACAGCACCTCGAAACAACTTGCCTGGGAAATCAGGTAGGTAGAACGGCAAAGTAAATCACACCACGGTAGAATATGTAGCCCTGCCCTACCCTGTCCTTGCCTCCTCGTATCCGTCAACCTCGAAGCTGGTACGCAGGTTTCCAGAGCGAGGTACGGCCGGGCATCGGGGGAATACCGTATTGGGGCTAGCAGAGTGCGGGGGAGACAGTCTTGGTACCGCGGGAGCAGAATGCTTAGACGGGTAATAGTGCGCTGGCCGGGCGGGGACTAGCCGTGCTTCTAGCTCGGGTACTGGGTCTGGGGAAATCATGTGGGATGGACGGGTGGGGTGGGGTGGGTGGAGAGAATGTGTGGGGGGGGGAGGGAAATGGTGGGTGGAGTGATTTTGTTATCTAGAGCGGGGTTACCCGGGAATGTATGGACGGAATTTAAAGGTACCATTAGGTTTGTGGAGCAGGAGAAACTTTAAACTGGTGTTCAGTGTGGTGTTGTATAACGTTGCTGCGTGGGACGCGCGTTGAAGAGTCACACGTAGGGAGATCGTGTACCAGGTTGAAGGAGATGTTTCTTGGGTTTTCTTAGGAGTGTTCATGTCATCTGAGAGGGACAGTATTATGTCATTACAGGGATTCGGATGTGCCGCCATGTTGGTGTTAAGACTATTTGCACTGTAGAACATGGCCTTCCGTGGGCATGTACTCTGACTACACTTTACCTTGGCTATCAGATTTCTTCAAAAAACGATGGAGATAGATTTTAGGGACAATCGGGCAGATACATAGAAACATTCGGTGTACCATCAAAATACATTGAACATAGATCCTATTCTTACTTCCATGCTTCACTGTCAACTACAGACACCAGCTTCTAAGGCAACGCCTGAATCATCTTCTCCAAACTATTCTCAACTGTAATCGGTGACCTAACCGCAGTCCAATCGTGATTCAACAAACCCCACGCCTCATCCAGTCCCTGAATGGTCTCCGGTTTCCGATTCGGCCGGGTCTGAAGATAAAAGCTACCAGAAAGCTCCCAGTGCTGCCAGCTAACCTGGTACTCCTTGACCATTTCCACCAGACATCTCGCATACGTCGTTTGGTTCCAGTACTTGCCGTTTTGGATGAAGCCCCATTCGGAAACAACCATGGGGAAGAGGTACTTTGTCTTCGGGTCATTAGGGTTGACGCTTTGGAAGCCCTTCTGGTACCATTTTGACTTGAATGTAGTGCAACTGTCTTGGGTGGCTTCAAAGTCATATTTGTGAATCTCAAGCACGATTTTGTCTTTGAAGGCGAAATCCTCGGGCACAAATTTCGCCGTCTTGCCGGCCGTTGAGGTCCCCGCAGTGCCGTTGAGAGTCTGGCCGAGTGGAATAGGGGTGATGAATGTGTCGTACGATAGCCCCGAGAAGAAAATGAGGGAGTCCGGATCGGCTTGATTATATTTCAGCCACACTCAGAACGCGATTGCGCACCGATGCTAT